CCAAAACTAACTCTATCCACAAAAAACACATATTCCATTTTCCAAAAGAGAATTTGAAAGTCGCTTAAAAACAGCCTCTTTTGGAGAATTTATGTTCACCACTCAATGGATAATTAATCTTCACATTCTGCTCATTATAGTTTTGGAAAGAAGAAAACGAAACAGACAGTATGATTCTTGAAAGCAAGAACAATCCCATAAAAAGATAATGATGCATTTTCATACGGTCTTTGACTAAAGCAAGCTCTTTAAGAAATAAAACACTTTTGATTCCAAGAACTTGCCTGAGTTGTTGGCACTGAATGAGGTAAGAGGTTTATACATTTCACCAAATTCTCTGGGACTTTGGATCTAAGAGCGGTAAACTGAGGAGAATAGGGGTCACGCTGCTTCCACTTGTCCCTTCCAGATCTCCTGCACTGCCATATCCTTCAAAGATTAGGGTTCTATTTCCATTTTTAATTAAGAAAGAAGTGTCTGCTTCCCTGACAAGTCTCAGTATCTTTGAGGTAGGATGACTCTGCCTCTGATTCTATCATTTGAGTCCTTGGTGCAACGAGACCTTCAGCTTTTGCTTTCCATGCCTATCAGAGCAGCCCTGATGCCAGCCATGATCCTATAAGTTTTAAATCTCAAGTTACCCCTGCCAACATCCTTACAAGTGACATTCTTTCACAAATAACCACCACTTCTCTTTAGGGCTGAGTTTCTACTGCAGCTATAGTCTGAATTCATCCCTTCAAAATTAATTTGAAACTTAATCTCCAGTGGATGGACTTTAGGAGTTGATTAATGGTATCAGGATATTGTGAAAGAGTCTTCACCCCACATGTGGCCCTTTTGCCTTTTGGTTGCATCCACTCTGGGAGGATACAGTGTTCAAGACACATCTTGGAAGGAGAGAGCAGTCCCCACTAGATACCAAATATGCCAGGGGTTTGGTCTTCAACTCCAGGCCTCTCAGAAGTGTGAGAGAGAAATAAATGTCTGCCCTTTATAAATAAGCCAGTCTCAAGTATTTTTGGCAATGCACCACGAATGGACTGACACATGCTACTCAGAGAAATCCTTCCCACAGTTGGTGACCCCAAGTGCCATGTCATGAGTTCCTCCTAGAGAACCCCAGGGCCCAGCAAGCCTCCCTGGAGTGAGCTGAAGGACAATGACACAGCCATACCATGCGGCTGTCCTGTGACAGATCAGTGCTGCTGCGCTGGACCCAGTCAACATTTGAGGGAGAAGTCTTGGCACAGACTTACATGCTTTGTTGCTCTGGCTTTTGTAAAGCTACTTAAAAGATCCACTATGAAGGTCCTCATAGAAGATGACAAAAAAATCAGATTTTTCCTTTTGAGTTGCAAACTGACAGAAGCCTTCAACATTAACTGAAGTGGGAAAATACTTTGTTTTGTAGATATAATGACACAGATGAGGGGAAGTATTCCTGGAATAGGAAGACATTATGAGCTGTGGAAAACAGTTTATTAATAAAAGAATATCTTTTAAATTATTATTTTAATCTATCACCGTGGTAGCAACGACCTGAAGAATCCTATAATTTTAAACCTAGAAGAATCTCAAGGATCAGGTAATAAAACATCCTCACCTTACGGAGGTGACAAGAAAACTGATTTAAATCATCCATGATCATGCAAATCAGAAGACTCACCCAGGTCTTCTGACACAGGGAGGAATCTTGCTGTCACCACATATTACTTGATGGGTTTTAATTTTATAGTATCCTATATAGCCCTGCTATTTACCCTAAATATATTTTATTTCTCACAAAGCCTGTGCACTCTGCCACTTTTGTCCAGCTATTTTAAACAACCTCTTCCTACACAGAAATCTGAATTGAACGCCACTCTCCTCCCCCACAACCCTGATGAATGAGGACCGACTCTACCACATGCTTGTCACAGCTGTACTTGGGACTTTAATTATGTTATTTAGTTAACTGTTATGTAAAATAGTGAAATATTTGTGAAAAAGAGAGGAGGACTTTTCCTGTAAAAACTAAATTCACTGTTTGGGGAAGACTGGTCAGAAGGAAGGTCAGACATTTTTACAAATGGATCATCTCTTGCCTAATTGCAATCCACTGGGGATTTGAATAAACATACAGAAGAAATCTATCTTCGTATCACTGCCTAGGTGGAAAATTCCAATTCCCCTATCAGAACAACCTTGTAATCACGAAAAGGGTTAGCAGGGGCATTAGTTTATGCTAACAGATAACTCAGAAGTCAAGTCAGAAAATCAATGGCCAAAGCAGCAGTAAGGAATAAAAAAACAAACAAAATACACACATTTTTGTCTTGTGTACATCATAAGCTACCTGTGCTCTCAAAAGTGTGCAGTTAAACTCTATAAAATGTGTATAGATGTTATTTTCTTGATTCCCTGACTTATCCAAATTTTATTCAATCTGTACTGGTGGTGCAGAACAGAAAGTTTTCAATACTATAGGTCAGGATTTTGTTGGTTCTTCACTGATATATGTTCTTCCTGCTTCCACAATTGACTGAAGTCATCTAAAAACAAAATCTTAAAGAGTGCTTCTAAATTAACAGCAAAGGAAAAGTGTAGTACCTGGATAGAGTTTAGAATACTATGTAAGTTAGGATATTTAAAGTCATGCCATTTTCACCTGAGAAACAGCAAGTTACAGATTGGCAGGTCATTCTGTAAAAACCATTCCAATGTATTTATCTTGTATCCATGGTTGAATGAGGCTATGGTGGTTATTTTACAAATTTGCTGTGACTCAAAGGGGAAACGAGGGCACCTGGAACAGCCTAAGGGGAAAGCAGCCCTGCTCATCCTCCTGAGACCCCAAAGTCAGTTAATATTGGTCAGTGGTGTCTCCTCCACAGGGCTGAGCAAAGTGCTTTGGTTCAAACCTTGCTCAAGGCACAGAGAACATCTGATTTAGGATGCAAAGGATCTCAGTGCTAAGATCCTAAAGTGTATGAAAAGAGCTAACAGAAATGGAGCTGTGTCAATCAATTCTCAGTGTGTCAGGCTGATGTTCATCTGAAGGGCCAGTCATTCTTCACACGGGCCACTGGGAGGACAGGCCCAGCCCATGGCGGAGGCTGCTGCACTTCACATTAGACCACAGGGTATAGGAGGACATTGGGACACAGAGTTTTCAAGGGGAATCGTTACTAGTACTGAATAATTTGCAGTGGATTTGCAAATTAGCCACCAGTATAACTCAAAATATATAAACTATGCCCCAGTTTTATTCAATTTAGATAATCTGCCCACACAACATATTTAAAATTTTCATAGGATTTCATCACTGCCACAAGTCTATATCCAAGCTGTCTTCATATTCTACCTGGATGACTCTCTGGTGAGTTCCTTGCTCTAGCCTCTCTCCAGTAAAGTACATCATCTTCCAAGACTGCCCCAAAACGTGTGCTCAGAGAGAACTAAACTACATGCCCAGTAGTTTTTAAAAATTTTATCTTGGGGCATGATCTTGCTAAATTGCCCAGCCTGGCCTTGCACTTGCCATCTTTCTGCCTCAGCTTCTTCAGTAGTTAAGATTACAGACATGGGCCACCAGGCCTGCCTAAATGCTATCTTTTATTAGTAGCTCGCTGTGAGACATCCATATATTTTCCATTTTCCAGCTCCCTGCTCCCATAACATTTAATTCTCACCTTCATTAAGTACTTTTCCCAATGATCACAGCCTATTGCATCTCCTGCATGCTGTCAGGCTTTTCGCTGCACGAATACTGTACCCTTCATGCTACAGTACTTCATGATCCAGCACCTAGCACCTGGCTGGATCTTAGCAGATGAGCAATACAATGATCTTAACAACTGAAATCATAACATTAGAAGTCTGTGTGTACAGCAAATACTTCTTGATTTCCTTTGATCCAGTAGGGACTAGGCTAGGTACTGGAAGCATTTTATGTAATCTATTACTTAAAACAACTCTGAGAAGGAATCATTGCTTTCTCATTTTATTCTGAGATTCACAACTGTTCAAATATTTCTCATAAGCTCGTACTACTAACAAGTAGTAGAACAGAGACTTAAACCAGGTCCTTCTGAATCTAAACTCAATGTCTTTCCCAGTAGAAACTTACAAATTCAACCTGCACTCTGATTCGTTCTAAAATATATTATATATTTTTAGTTTTATATTCCACATATAAATAGTTAAAGTCTAGTGGCATAAAAGTATTCTAATCTTTAATTTTCCAAAGAAATGCTTAACACTAACAATTGGCTACATTATTTGCAAACAACTTTAAATGCCTCTGAAATATTCATATTAATATTTCTTAATTTGCAAGTAATTATTTTAGTCTAGATTTGACCAACAATAGACAAAATCTTAATGAAACTTTCGTTTATCTATCTTTAGGACAAAGAGTGGCGAGTTGGCAGAATAGTTAAAGCTGTTTTCTGGAAATGTCTTGGGCTTGTAACTTCAAAGAAAATTTGAATGCCACATTTTGAAAAGCATAATGCTGATGCTCTACCAAAGGCATTAAGGATGCAGTGAAAAGCTTCAATTTCTATCTGTTGATGCATTTAGAACTATTCATTCTTTTAATAAAAAAAGTTGTTTTCATTTTTGCTACCTGGCTCTGCCTAAGCAGGCCTGTATGATGGCACAGTTTATTTTATTACTTTACATCATATTTTATGGTCTTGCTTGTATTTCTGCAGAACAAAAAAATGAACTAGTTATACCTAGGTCTTTTCTCCTAATTAAGATGTACTACCTATTAATAGAAGGCAAAGATATTTGCATTTATAAAGGTTGTGGATGTACAAAAGAGCAAAAAGGAAGATTTCGGTCCCTGGAGAATCCTTCCTTTAATGTTAAACTTTTTCCACAAATAACAGTTACTGAATGCTCTGCAAAGACTTCTCCAGGAAACTGAATTCCACCCACACAAAATGCCCTTCAGCACTTTCATCTTTTTCAATAACTGTTAGAATCAGGAGAAACATTTCCATACTTACTTTTTCAGTTTTTGTCTAATTCCTAAATCTTTAATTTCATTTTGAAGATCCTCAAAGCTCTCGACAGAACTTAGATTACAGAACACTCTGAAGTCAACATACGGTGGGATCCCGTGGTCTCGACCCCTTTGAATGTCCGTAGCAGCTATATCCAGGCCCACCGCTTGGCCGGTGGAGAACAAATTCTCCGCCAGCTCAAGGCTGACAAGCTAGGAAGGCACCTGCTATTTAGCAGCCACTCCAAAGAGGCCCCGCAAGAGCGGATCGATCCCACCCTCCTTGATTATTCTGGAAGGTGAAAAGAAAGCTTTGTGGAGCGGGAGGTGGCCTTCGGGGATTTCACCAAAGGTGTCATTCAGTCTCAGTCGGTAAAGAACGGGCTTGGTTAACGTGTGGCCAAACCGAAAGGCTGCCGTGGCAAAGGAGTCGATGATGCCAGCGTTCGCGTTGGGGTCGTAGCCCCGGTATTTCCCCAGCAACTTCAGGCCAGGGTCCCCCAGGATCTTGGGCAGCCAGAGGCTGTAGGTGATGTGCTGCTGCTCAGCGCCCACGGCCGGCCTTCCTGGCCTCCCGGTAAAGTGTGTCTCCGTCCCAGCGGGGGTTCAGGACCGACCGACAGCCCTGCAGCCACCCTGCTGTGCTCGCGGAACCACGAGGTGTGCACGGCGGTCAGAGCCGGCTGCTGGCTGGCCCTGTGGTCCCCGGCCAGGAAACAGAAAACGGGCTGCGGCTGTCTGGCCCCTGCCCCGTGCCCAGGGTGGGGACCCACAGAGGAGGGCAGCAGGCTCTTTCCAGGAGACGGCCAAAGCAAGCCAGTCTTCAGCAGTGCGCCGGGCGCCTTGCGGTCTCTGCGAACCCGGGGCTGCTGCTCTGAGCTCCCATACACGTTGGAGGCATCGATGTAAGCTGTGGGCTGGTTGATCCGCTTCCGGGCGCAGACTGAATTCGTCCTCAAGGATGTGGTGCCGCTGCCTCACACGGGACTGGAGCGTACAAAGGACACGCAGCGTGCGTGGGCGCCCTGGGGGTCGCCGTGCGGGATGGCAGTGGGGAAGCGAGGAGGGTTGCTCCTGCGGGCCGAGCTGCACGGCTGCCCGTCTGAGAAGCTGGAGGGGCTCAGCGTCGACACCGCGTGGGCCAGGTCGTGGTCTAAAAACTGGCCCCACTGCATGAACATGTGCGTGTACCCGGGGTCAGGGGTGACTGCCGCCGTGCCCGCCAGCTCGGTGGACACCAGCCCGGGGCGGCGGGAGCGGAGGGCGGCGGCCCAAGGGGTGGCACCCAGGCCCTCGTGGCGAGTCCAGGCCGTTCTCCTAGGCCGCCGGCAACAGGCGCACGAAGGCCTTCAGGGACGCGCCCCAAATCGGCCGCTGCAGGTTGTTGCAGGTTCCGTCGTGGGCCCGGTACCTCTGGTGGAAGCACAGATCGGAGCAGTTGGGCCCAGGCCTGTGTGCTGTGCACCCGGATAGATTGGCGATGATGCTGAGGTGGTGCGGAGACACCAGGTCATTGGGGCGGAATTCTGAAAGCCAAAGTATCAACAGCAATGAGGAAGGTGGCGGGGAAGCCTGAGCAGAACCCTCGGGCTGCTTGGTGCTCTGGGAACTGCCCACCACGTCTGCCCTTCTCCCTTGCAACAAGATTTCATTAGGACCCAAGGAAATGCTCTAATACAAAGAAAGGAGAAATAGTTGTATATATATTCAAAAGTTATAAAAGATATATCCAAAACTTAGGGGAGTTAAGTCAGTAATGCCTGTTCTTCAAACAGTGTCTGTGAGAATCAACAAAATGAAAGGGAAATGTGACTTTGAAAATACACTATCATGCTGGTAAGGATTTGTTACTACTCAACATAGCGTCGTTTTTATGATAGTGGGTTTATTTTCAGTTTAGCGGTCTTTCTTCTGGCTTTTGTGCTTTCAGAGGACAAGGTCAAAGGCATATCAATGTGGGTGGTGTGACTATTAACTCACATTATATTTGACAAGGAAAAATTAAGCAGTAACTTCCTAAACAACCACAAACTGCGAAACTATCCCTCTGACCTTGCAGCCAGCCAGCGGACAAGGCTGCTGAAGTATTGTATGTACCTTGGAAGCATACCTCTTAAAGTCTTAAAATTCCAGCTTATCCCAAATCTAAAACGACTATTCACTAAGTCATGCTTACAAAGTATTTTTATCCCTAATTAGTCTCAGAAATTGACTAAGGATACCAGGGCCATTTGTACTGTACCTGTTAGGCAGTCCCTGGCTAGGCCCTGGGTTACCTTGGTCTCAGGTAGAAACAAGAATCTTTCTGCATGGGAGGATATAGATACCGAGTTCACTTCTAGTGTAAGGTGCTTCTAAGTTTCTGAGGTACAAAGGTCTTTAATTTTACAAATAACGAAAGAGAGGTCAAATTTACTTAGGAGTAATGGTTCAGGTGATCTAAAGCTGAGTCAAGCACCCAAGTGTGCTACCTTGCCTCTGTTCATTTTCTGAAGGAAAAAGAAAAAGAAAAGATAAGCCTATAAAAGATGCTGTTAACACTCCTAGTACAAATAGAGTATACCAAAGCATCCTTTTGTGAACTACATTATACAGAGAAACTCTTAGAAAATCTGAAAGCTTTTTATGCCATCTCATTTGGCATTTACTAAGTAGATGTCTGGTTTTGGAAAAAATATATGAGAACTCAAACGCAGCAAAAGGAAAAAAAACAAGAATAGAGAGGAATGTAAATGTTACAGATAATGGAAGGAATTTCAAGTAAATTCACTGAGTGATTTGGGTGATTGCAATAAGTAGAACATTTTCTTACTATTTCTCTATAGGATGTAGTATTAGCTTTTGAATATGAAAAGTTCACATAAGTTGTATCCCCAAACTTGCTCTATATACATCTAACTGGCAAAAACTGAGACAAATTTGAAAATGTATTTGCGATTCTTACTTTTGAATCACAGTTCCTATAAAAATATCTGCATTTATTCAGTAAAAGTAGTAAGCAAATTAATTTCTAAATCACATGATGTTCTGTAGGTGAAAGGTTGAATGTTCTCCCTGAGGCAAGGGACGGATGTGCCACAGAGTAGGCTTAGGACAGGAGGGCTCTGTGCAGACCTCTGCCTTGCAGGTCACCAGTGAGCCCCTGCTTCACGCGCTGCGGGATCAGTTACAGCATGGGCTCAAAAATGTCCCCTGCTCTTGCTGTGACCCCGGGAAATGAGTCACTCAGGTAATGAAATTGAGGCAGCAGATCACTAGGAGTATGAGGTTTTCTGCAAATGAGAAAGGACAAGAGTATTTGCAAGGCAAAATGACAGAATCGATAAAACTTACATATGTGGTACATTTATGAAGACATTTTCCAAAAGTTAAAGACTAAAAGATCCATCACTAGAAAAAAAAAAGCTGTGCAACTTTTTGACTTTTTAAAAATTGAATTCTAAGTGTTGGTCATAGCACTAATCTCAAATAATGCATCTTTAATATATTAATGATGCAAACAATAGTTCTTAACAAAAAGTAAAATCTATGGTGGAGGGATAAACTCATGGAGCCCATGTGTGGGTTCTAGGGGGCCTGGCCTAGTGAACCATCCAAAATAATGTTCAACCTTTATCCTGGTGATTAACATCTGTCTTCTCTTTTGCCAAGTGTGACTGTTGGGAAATTCCCATTCGTCTTTAGAATCCTGCTTGGACATAACATGCCCCGCACAGTCTCCCTAATAGCTCTGATCAGTTATCACTCTACCTTTTTTCTTACTTCTGCATCCTTTCCTACATCTGTTATGTAAGCACCAAGACATCCCTAAATTACTGAAATATTGTCTCATCTACTAAAGAAAGAACTGGGATTGGGATAAAGTAATGTGGTTTGGATCTTAAATATGTCCCAAAAGTTCATGGGTTTTGGTCTTAAGCCTATGGCACTCCTGAGAGGTGGTAAAAATTTCAGGAGGTGGGGCCTAGTGGGAAGAAGTTCGTGCATTAGAGGAGTACTCTCAAAGGGGGTGTGTGGACACCCCCCGTCCTCTCTCTGTCATTCCCTGGCCTCTGTAATATAACCAGCTTTACTCTGGCACACGCTCACTCACTCATGCCATGATGTTCAGCCTCAGGACAGGCCCACAGTGATGGGGCCAAGTATTGATGGACTCAAACATTTGATATCTTGAGCCAAAATAATCTTTTCTTTTTAAAAGTTGTCTAGCTCATGTATTTTAGCACAACAACAGAAAGCTGACTAACATAATGCCCTGCTCATCTTTGTATCCCCAGTACCATACAACGGGACTGACTGGCACACAAAAGTGGTTTACGCACCTTTGTAGAACTGAAATAAGTAAGTTAAAAAGAAAAAGTAAAGTCACTGATAATAGGAAGCAAACTTTTGTAGACATTTGGGTCAACGATGTACATCTCACCTTCTATGTCTTGAATCTTAATAACTTTAGTCAAAGAATAATAGTAACAATACTAATAGCTCACTTCAATTAAATGCTTTCTGCACACCAGGCAGTGTTGAAGCACTTTATCTATATTATCTTTCTTGCAACCATACCACAAATCAGATCCTACAGTATCCCATTTTACAAGCAAGAAGCCTGAAATCAAAGATGTTAGGTCACTTGCCCAAGGTCACCCAGACTCTAAGTGATGATGTGGGGAATCACAATAAGAATATAAATGGCTTATAAAGTTCTAGAACACAAGGCTATGCTCACCAAGCCATATTGTCTGTGGATGTGTAAGAAGCTGAGTTATAACTAATCAAGGCATTTTAAATTATCCCTTTTTTCTACTTTTATTTTTTATTAGTTCATACTATTGATGAGGATAAGGGATTTCATTCTGGAAGATTTGTACACGAAAAGAACGTGCTTTGATTGTTTCCAACTCTGTCCTCATTTTTTTCTCTTTTTGGTCAACAACTGAAAACACTGGATGGCTATGGAAACAAAGATCATCTTATTTTAAGACATTCAAGTCTTATAACCACAAAGTAAGTTGTTTGTGGGATTGGAAGATAGAAGTCTCAAATTATTCCAATTTAAGTTAAAGTAAAATGCCACATATCCTAAACCGACTTCTGACTGTGGCTTACCAGCTTCGGGTATTCATCTTGGCAATTGTTGTCAATATAAAGACTGTTGGAGTACTGGTTTGACACTGTTTGGAGGAGCTGACATACCAGAGCCTTTTGCCTGACGTCTTTTATCAGACTTTGTGGAATGGGCATGTGGCATCAATAAGTGCCATTTAGACTCTGTGGCAATAACTTTCCTTCTCTTTGAAGTTGAACTAAGAATGACTGCTAGCCCAGACAATGCACACAAGGACTATAGACAGTCTTTGGAAATCTTACGCACGTACCTGTTGTGATTTTTACAGAGATTACGAAAACTAAATAAAAAAGAAAAAAACCCACAATTTTTCCATGCAAAATAAAATGTCTTCTTACTGTGAAAACAAATGTCTTCATGAGGAGTGACTTGCAAAGTCAACCCTCTGTACAGCATCAAGAATTGATGATTCAACAAAGTCATCACCAGCTGGTCTACCCTGTATTACATTGAAAATTAATCCCATGATGTAAAAGAATCATGATTTTAAAAACCTTGAAGTTAGGAATTGTATGTATAGATAGCATTACATTTTTAAAATAAAACCCTTTAAGCCAATAAAAATGTACAATATCCATATGACAATGATCACTGCAGAGAAGTAGGTGGTTATATTGAGGCAAATCTTTCACTAACAATAAAAATGTTATTTGAAGAATTGAAGCATTCCAAAATCTAGCAAAGCTACATGAAATGTTTCCTTTGTCACAATACTGAATCAAATGGGATCCATTCTTGCCAGCAATTTGTCATCTTAGAGAAGATACATGATGCTTTTCTCTTCAGCCACCTTGCTTTAATGTTAAACATTAAAACAAAGTAATTATTATCACATCCCCATAGAGGTTCCTTAAAGCAAGAACTGAACTCTCAGGAAGATTTAAGTGAAAAATAATCCATGCTGCTTCTATAACTCTCAACGTGAAAATTCTACATGTGAAAGATTCTACAAAAACAGGAAGCTATGCACTTAGAGCTGATTATCTTCAACATACTGAATTTTCTCTAGATGATGGTATAAGAACATTAATCTTAAAGGAAAAATACTAAATAAAAATAATTGTGAGTGACTATTTAAGGCTCACATAAGGGAAATAAGCAAATCCGTAATATTTCATTCATTTTTGATATACTAAACAGTAAAATTTATATGATCCAGACAAATAAAACAACAGCTTCTACCACTGTTAAATACTGAAAGCAGGAGTAATATAGCTTCAAAAATTGAGTTTGAAAATGGTACTATTATGGGAAAATAAAAAAGACGAAAAACTTAAATAGTAATAGGAAGTTATGTGCTCTACATATTATCAAAAATAACCAACAACAAAAAAGAACTAGCAATAAAGAAACTAATCAACCCTAAGCCACGTTTGTACCACAATATAGAATGTAACTATCTGTAACATGCCTGTCTATCTGTCTTGTTCTGCCTATTTATGTTTATATACTTTCACATTAATGCATCTGGGTAGCATTCTATATATTAATATAAGAAAATTTCTTTATATGTTGACATATATAAACTAGATTGATTCATTGTCTTTAAAATACTGATAACATAAAACAATTTCAAGAACTACCAACGGTACAGAAATATTTTATGGAGAGACAATAAAATCCAGGATTCCAAGGAAGGCTCCTTTTGGTGAAGTAGATTACATGCAGTAGTTATAAGTAAGTGGCTGCACTGTCAATTTGTTTCTGACTTTATGATAACCACAATATTGTGGCTCTAGAAGGTTAGTGTTGGGTTTCCTAAGTCCAAAATACACACTTGATTGAACATATATTAATTAAAGATTATTTTAAAAATAAGACAAAATTGATTAATTCAACTACTATAGGAAACTAACAATTTCTTTTCAAAAGAGGAGCATGAAGGAAAAAGGCTAATAAACAATGAAGGACACAACGTGTGACAATATTTGCAGATGTTAAATCTAACACAATTAACACTCTGTCATACAAGGAAATTTTAAAACACACTAGGATAAGAGTATATATAGTCTAGTTATGAAAGAAAGAGGAAACCCTGACCATTACTAAAGATAAATGATGTACTCAAAATCACTTATAACCTCAAAAATGAAATTTAAAATGTCAATGAACTGCCATTTGTGCTTATTCTAACAAAAATTAAAACTGCATTTTGATAAGGGTGTACACACACAAAAAAATCCTGGGCAAGTTGCTGAGACTATAGACTTGATTTCTTTATTTTGGAGATTTTTATTAAAGACTTGCTTGTTTTCATTTAGTAAAATCAGAGGTATACACACCCTCTCATTTGGCACTATCACTCCTATACATATATCCAGAGAAACCCTAATCCAGATTCCTAAGGATTTGTATGAGAATGCTTGCTCTAACTTGATGTGAAAGGAATTGGGAAAAATAAGGTTGTACAGCAATGGAGGTGTGGACAAAAAGAAGGCAGTAGGTGTACAATGTGGAGCATCATCCACCAGTTAGAACTGACTGGAGGTCCACACGGGTGGCTCTCAAAAAGAACACCAAAAAGGGCCGGGGATTTCGCTCAGTGGTTCCGCCACCTCCCCCGCAACACAGGTTCCAAATTCCATTCCCAGTACAACAAAAAAGAATACAAAATATAAAAATAGCAAGCAAGAAAGTAGATCATTATAATTGATTGAATCAAAATATGAAATAGTCAGATGCATTATGGTTGTATATAAATAGCAGGGAGAAGGAAGGTGTGAACATAAAAGTCAATGAGTAAGTAAACGATAAAGTCACAGTGATTATGAAAGAACAGTATCTTTAATGTAGCTGCATGAATCTGGTTATGTGTTTCATAAAAAGTAAAATTAAGTACACTATTTAATTAAAAAGAAGTAAAATGCTGAGGAGAATGTGAAGAGAAAGGAATATGTATACACCATTGGTGGGAATGTAAATGACTCCATAATGGAAAACTGTATGGAAGTTCCCATCCTGTAAAGTTAAATACAGCACTACAGGGCAGGGGATTTAGCTCAGGACACTGTCCCTGCCTTGTAAGCACAAAGTCATGAGTTTGATCCCCAGTTAAAAAAAAAAAAAAAAAAGTGTATGTGTATATATATATATTTTCATCAACCAATCCCATCACTGGGTATATAGCCAAAGGATAAGAAATCAACATACCAAGGAGACACTTGCACATCAATATTTATTGCACCATTATTCACAATGGCTAAGATATGGAATCAGATGAATGGATATAGAAAATGTGGTATACATACACAATGGAGTAGTATTCAGCTATAAAGAAGAATGAAGTCCTGTCATTTGCACGAAAATGGATTGACATTACTTTGCATGAAATAAACAGAAAGATAAGCACTGGCACATTTTCTCTCAGCTGTGGAAGCTAAAAAAACATCAACCTGCAAGTAGAATAGTGACTACTAGGGGTTGGAAAGAGTGGCAGATTTGATCAGTACCTGTTATTTGCATTCATGAAAATATCACATTGAACTCCATCTATATTTACAATTAATATATGTTAATAAAAAATTAATGAATATTTTTTGAAAAATAAAGGAACCTACACATTACATTCACTTGGAGAAAACTAATCAAGATCAATCAAATCAACTTTTCCTGGCATACAGGTGATTTGATTTAAGTAATCAAATCAAGAAGTTTGTTTTTTCTTGGTCGTTTTCCTTTCACTCCTTCACTTTGGGACCTCATGTGTAGAAGGCGGCATTCGTCCCATGTTTCCATTCATAACAACTATTGTCATTGGGCCCCGTACTGAAACGAAATACATTCACAAAGATCTTCTTGGATTTGGAAGTAAGAAAAGCTGCGGGCCGAGCCTGGTTATCACACACGATAGCGCAGTACTAGGCGCCAGAACTAACTGTGGCAGACAGAACATGGGGAGCAAGGTACAAATTTCAGGTCAGTATCATTTAACATGTTAACTGAATTTTATTTGATTGTTAAGTTTGCTTTTATTCTACTTATAAAATATTCTTGCTGTTATAGTTGTATAAAAGTTATAAGCATAAGGGATTTTACAACATTCCTGTTCATCTTTTGACTTAGCCAAAAAATAGAAATAAGAAGACTTGTTCAGCAGAGACCACAGGGCTCACATGGTTAACAAATATATCAGATAAAAAGGCACGGAAAGTCATTCCAAGACTGCATGTCACAGGGCAAATATAAGGTATAAGTTTTCTGGTTATTGTGCTGCTAAACCGACGACTAACTTAAACCTTCACACAATCATCAAGTGCTACTGGGTTATCCTGTCATTTTGGTCAACCTAAATTGCAAGTGAAAAAATTCACAGGTGGTGGAAACTCCGTCCCACCAACGCCAGTGCCACGCCCCCGGAACCTCCATCTCGCTGCACAGGCTGCGCCCCCAGAGCTCCTGGCTGGGCGGTGTCTGAATCCGCATTGCAGAGGCACGCAGGGGCCATAAAGGCCGTGCTTTTAAGTCCCAGAAGATAGACCAGAAGTGAAAAACAGAGACAGAGCCTCTCTGAGGCTCCTCAGTGAGAATTGAAGCCTACTGGGAAAGTGAAGAAAATTTCTGCAATAAAGGCACACTGCACCACCGGTGGTTGGTAAATCAGTGGGATTAGCCCCTCCCATAGAAACCCCGGGCTCACTTCCGGGGAAGTACAGCTGGATCCTGCAGGAGAACCTTGCAGAGTTCAATCCTGCAAGAGGTCAGAGACCGCAACTTGGGCCTTGCGGCCGGAAATCACCCTGAATCTAAGTGAACTACAGCTGGTTTGCTGAGACTAACAGACTTCGATCTGAGCACTGCGGCCCACATTGTTTACCAGGACAGCAGAAACACCCTGAGGGAGGCCCTTTTTTATATATTTTTTTTCTTTTATCTTTTCTTTTTTTGTCTCTATCCCTTCTTGTTCTGCATTTCTTTCCCTCTTTGATCCTATTCCTGTCCTGTTTCCCATTGTTTTTCGCTCTCTTTCCTTCTCTCAACTGTCACTATTCTTTTTTCCCCTTCTCTGCCCTCCCTTCAGCCCCTCCATCCCTCCCTATTTACAGAGACTTTGTTTCCTTGTTTTCATTTTCTCATATTAATTCCATTCCCTTCTCTCCTTTACCCTACCCCTCCCACTTCCCTCCCCCTTTGCCCCTTTTCTTCCTATTTCACATTATCTATTACACCTTTCGGTCCTTATTTACGCTTTCAGTTTCCGACACTAGAGAAACTATTTGGTATTTACACACGTGTGTCCTATTTATTTCACTTGAGGGTATCGCCTCAATGTGCATCCATTTAGCTATCAATATCTCTAATTTCTCATTTTTATGGCTGAGTACTATTCCATTTTATAAAAAAAACCCTACATTTATATTTAGATCTTTAATCCACTTCGATTTTAGTTTAGTGCATGGTGAGAGATACAGGTCTAGTTTTAGTCTTTGGCAAGTTGAAACC